AGTTACGGTTTCAGGAAAGCTACTGCATTTTTGAGCTTATAGAAAGTAAAGGGAAAGATGGATATACTTCTAAAGAGCTTTCTAAAGCGTTTTATGAAAAATGGAAACCTCGAATGAAGGGCAGTTTTTCATTATCTCTTAGTAATCGAGCTCTCCGCGAGCTGGAATCTTCCGGTCTTATTTCTTCATTGCCTATTGGAAAACAGATAAAAAGATACGTATTGTTTGAACATGCAGATGCTTTGAGAGATGATTTACTTAGCAACTCAATGCAATGTTCGCATGATGCAGAGTTGATGTTGCGCGCCAAAACTGCTGCGTACAATTTTTGCCTTAAGCATGTATGCGTTAGGTTCTCTCAGATTCATGAGAATTTAGTTTCATTAAATGATACAAAAGAACTAAGCAAGTTGATGCTTTCAAGAATACTATTAGCGCTCGAAGCTTCAATGATGATTCGAAAAATTGACATCGGGTTTGATGATGATTTTGTTTATATACGTTATTACAGGGATAATTTTAGTGAACTTAGTGTCATCCCATGCTTGTCCTGTAAGCTGCAATCTTGCTGTTCAGTTGACCATTTCTCTAATCCAAGATTTATATATATGCCTTTAACGGTAATGCAGGAAGGTGTTAAATCTATAAACAGACTTAAATCTTGGGAAGTCTCTAAAATAAGTGTATTAAAGTGCCCATACTATAGTTTATTGCATTGATGCATGTGGAAATTCCGAATATTTTACATGAGGGTGCAATGAATGCTAATAAATGGGTGGATAACGCGTGGAATCTGAAGATACATACTGCGAATGAATGCATAGAATCTGCTTTGTATGATGAAGTCGATCTATACAACGATTGTGGGAGGTTCCTTCTCTGCGTCCTAAATCTTCGTAATGACTTAAGCAAACTCTTTGAACTGGAGTTGTTGGAAGCTCCCCTTTGCATTGAAAGAGTATACTTCTGTACAACTGTACGCGATAGTGCAGATACTGAACTTTTGCAACACTGGTATACTCAAGCGGAGAATAATTTATGCCAGCTAAACACCCAAAGCTTCAATAGTTCAGTTTCTCAGATACGCGCCTGTAGTTGTGCGCAGGATATTAGCGATCACACTTCGGTTGAAGATATGCTAAGTAAGCATAGCGTACTATGCGTTGTTTACCATCTTTGCAGCGTTGGATCAAAATTTTTCTCAAATTGCTTTAAGTATTTTAACCACGAAGATACTGCATATGTTATGCTTTGCATCATTGGTAACATCTTTACGGTTTTTGATGATTTGAGCAAAATTAATATCTTTGGCAATGTGTTTACGGGTTGTACATACGCAAAGTCGAAAGAAAATAATCATAATTTGTTCAATATTGTAGCATCATGCTTAAGAAATTTTGTAATACTGTTCGATTGGACTGTACGCATACAGCGCAATAACGCAATTACTATAAAGTGCAATAGTAAACGTCAGGATACTGTTTTAAATAAGTTCGTAAGACTTTTCCTATCTTCAGATTACAGATCCTCACGCAGATGCTCATTGAACATTGACAGACATAATATAAACAGACTTCCAAATTTTTATCCCATTGGTTCAAAGGTGATTTCTAAAGGAAATGAACACAAGCTAATGATTTTAAAAAGACTTACTGACACTCTCTTCACACTAAGAAAATGAATACATATATCAGTTAATGCGCGTTAAATTAGTAGAGTTTATCACATAACGAACAGCAGATAATAAAGTTATTTTTTAAATTGTATCTGTTATTTGGGGAAGATGTGCGACTATCAAATCATTTAGAAGTTCCTGTTGACACTGCCCAACATTCTCTAACGTTTTATTGGACACATAATGTACTTTCAGAGAGTTGCTTATGCAGTACTGGGTAACAAGTTTACTGAATTCGGATGAATATTCCTTGTCAAGAAACGTTCCAATCATTACAATAAGCATGGAACCCGAATTTCGATTATAATCCTTATATATTTTAAGGATTTCGTGTATACGCTTACATTCATCAAAGCTTGTTGGGTTATTTAATGAAAACATTAGTAATACTGCATTAATTCGACCTAAAAGCATATGACTAACCCCTATAGATATCGTCTCATCATTCGAGAAGCTGCAAGGGAATACCCATTGTCGTAAATTAAATTCGGAGCACTGATCATGGTTAGTACTATTAGCAGAAATTGTTTTTGAAATGCGAGAAGCTTCAAATTTTTCATCGTCACTAAGTCGTGACCACATAGATATGCTTAAAAGCTTGGTGGAAGGTGTATCTACGAACTCAACATAAAAATCGCATACGGAAGAACGACTCACGTCTGATTTGCAAAGCTTACCGTAGACACTAGAAATTTGCTAAAGAAACATACCATGACGTACGAGTCGCTTTGTAATATTCGGAGCATGAAGAGTTATTAACAATCGCGTTAATAAAGCTCGTTTTGCCTACAGAAGCAGCTCCAAGTATCAAAAATTTACTTGCATATAAACAAGGTCTCTCCATCTCTACGTATTCGAAAACTTAATAAAATATTTACGTCGTATAAAACTGTTGTTTAGTTAAGCCAGGACGCTAAACAGACTACAGCAAAAGCTGTACTGTTCTAGTTTCATTTCAGCCAGAGCGATAATTACGCGCATTGCATTTACCATTCATAGGTCTGAATCTCGGCGATTTAAAATTAGAGTTCGATCTATTTGAACCTTTGAAAGTGTTGCTATGCCTGTTCAATGTGACACGTTTTTTTACGTTTTCAGACGGAGATTGTACACGCTGTAAGAGAAGCTTCTGGTGATCTGCTATAAATAAATTGGTGGATTGAGGAAGCTCAGTGTTTGAATAACCGTTGTCAACCTTAACAGAAAGAAACTAATTCCCGAGTTAGAAAACGTACCATGTTATCAGTTGTACCGAAAATTTCATCAATCAGTCCAATTCTGGTTTTATTACCCAAATAAACAGTTCCTGAGAAGTAGGGAACAAACCGTTTATCTAAACTGGAAGCTCTAATAATAAGCTGGCCTTCGCAGTAACAGAGTATGTTTCCCAGCGCTACTTGCAAATTTTGAAAACCTACGAATTAGAGCAATATTCGACGGAGCATTGTAATCAGCATTCTGCTTGAAATTTCCTCTGTTAGGGCGTCGGTACTGACTATTATTGTTTTTCATACGTGGCGTATTATTAATAATGGAAAACAGTGAATCCGTTATTGCAGACATTAATAATCATGCAGATGTGACACTTGAACTTCTGGTTGCACGGCTGCTACTGACATCCACTGGCCTCAAAAAAGTGGGGGATGAAGTGTAAGTACATTTGGTGCGAAACTAGCGAGCAAATTATTTCAAAAATTGTCCAATATTCTCAGGATAACTTTTAGCACTGCATTCCACAGAGTTCGTGCAATGTATTGTATTACTTAACGTTATGCTTTCATAGTTATGCACAAACTAATCAGATACGTTGTAAAAATCACAGTGCTTTATGTGTGTTGAAGCGAGCGTTCAGGTCGAATTGTCGCATTTTTTACATGTACTCGTCGAACACAATGATAAAACTCTGTTAGCCGTATGATGCAATTATATAAAATTTTAATCGCTGTTTTTCGTTCGAAACCGCGAACAGGCTTTAGAGTGCGAACGCGTCTGCTGATTACTATCTCGCTTTTGTGTTTATGGCAGTTCAAACTGACAACTTGAAAGTTGAGTGGAAGCACGATTCATACTGCTTAATAATACTGCAAATAACGGGCAAGCGCTGCCTTTTATTCTCTTCTATTAAGTTGTGTGTCGTCGCAATATTGGTTAGTGGCTTTCTTCTTAGTTTAGCAAATCTCAGAGAACTCAGCTATATACTAAACTTAATTGCGCTATACTTTAGTATATTTGCTGCGCTCTTGTCTAAGCAGAACACTGAGGCGAAGAACGAACTGAATGAAATTATTTTACACAAACCCTTAGGTTGTCTCATTAGAAAGGGCAAGCGGGAGAATCTCATACTGCGAAGCAATTTTAACGGTGCATTCGTCTACGAACGATTTAATGGATTTCAGGTAGATAATTACCTTGCACTTAAATATACCAAAAATTTAGAAACAGATCGAGAATGTTACGAAAACTGGGACTTTTTGGCTCCTTTCTCAAGTGGGAATCTGCCAGTAGAATATCTCTGGTGTATTAGTCATTTAATTAATGAATTTTTTGAAACAGTCTAAAAAGGCTTTAGTCTTGGTTCTTTACGGCTCATGAGTATCAACCATCTGATTTAAATGTCAGGAGATTTGTTGTCTTTGGCACAGAATTTCTCAAAATGTAGCGAGACTAATATAAGTAGAATCTCGAACAGAATAGTGTGGCCGAAACGCTGTGACTTCAATTCTTCTGTTTTTACCGACGCAAGCGGTCTACTATTTGGGAGAACTCCTACCGATGATTGTGAGACCGCTGTGCGCGAGTATACAGAGATGCACTCTTGTTTTTGGAGGTGCGCAAATGGATCATCAGAGAAGTTAGTTGTTCTTGCTGCTGCTCTATTGTGCTTGAAGGCTTCTAGAATCAGAATTGACTTCGACGACGCTGCATTCTGTTTCATGCTCAATTTGGACGTGCAAATACTGCGCGCGAACTTCAGTGTTATGATGGCCTTTCGAATGGAGGACGTATATCGAGCCTCTTTTTCATCGGAGGTGTCAGGACGTAGCTCGCTGTTAGTCACTGATCCGAGTATTATGCGCACAGCGGCTAAGATTTACAGCGAAGGTAGTTTTCAGAAGCTTGTGCTTACCGAAAAAATTAGCGTTCGGCTGAGCTACTACCAGTCCGAGTTAAAGTCTCTGCTCAGTTTCTTTTTCACATCTTCAGATGAGTGCTTGCAGCTCGGCGTAAGAGGCTCGACAAAGCGTGAAGCCGCTTCAACAGTGCTTTTGGAGAGAAACGTGTCGTACAGCAAATTTGAATTGTCGGCGCAAGCTTTGTGCAATAGAGATCACCTGCGAATTAAGCCTGCCAACGTGCTACCGGAAAAGCTTCGCGATGTTTTCAAACCGTTTGCGTTTTTCAATCCGATGCAAAGCAAGGTCTTTGCGAAAACCTTTGCGTGTGACTGTAATGTTCTGGTGTCGGCTCCGACTGGCGCCGGTAAGACCGTTATATCACTCATGGCGATAACGCGACTTTTGCACCAGGATCCCAACTTTGCAGCGAAGCACATGTCTGTGTTTTACATAGCGCCTTTCAAATCTCTGGTTAACGAAATTTCGGAGAAACTGCAAAGTTACGTTTCGTGCTGCAGTTTGACTACACGAGCCGTATCTTCAGACACCAACGCATTTCAACTTGCAAAGTGCAATGCTCATATTGTAGTGACTGTTCCAGAGAAATTTGATGTGATGTTGATTAACAATGCGCAACTCTTGACTTCAATTCGACTAGTTATTCTTGATGAGATTCACATTGTAGGCCAGGACCGAGGACACGTTATCGAATCGATCGTCAACGCGATAAAAAGACACAATAGATCCGGGCCGGCCAAAGTGAGACTCGTAGTTCTGAGTGCCACTCTCCCCAACTACAAAGCTGTCGGCTCGTGGCTCGATGTGCCGCAAAGTTCAATTTTTCACTTCGACGACTCTTACCGCAGTGTGAGTTTGCAGCGATTTTTGTACGGCATAAGCGACTCACTGCGCGATAAAGCTGCAGCTTCCGTCAAGAACCAGTTAGTTTTCGAGGAAAGCTTGCTGAGCATCAAACAGAAAAAACAAGTTTTGTGTTTTGTTTTCTCACGCCAGGGAACAGTTTGTCTCGCGAATGAGCTGCTGAGTCGGTACAAGAGCAACAGTTTGACTTCGTTGCTCGTTAACAGTAACACTTCAAGGACACTGTCGTCGCGACTAAAACTGTTAGCCTCGGCCGAAGTCCGCACTTTGTTCCAAGCGGGAATTGGCGTGCACCATGCCGGTCTCAGCAGCAAGGAAAGGAAATGCATTGAGAAATCTTTTATGGACGGTTCGCTGCAGCTCTTGGTCTCAACTTCAACATTAGCGTGGGGAGTGAATCTGCCAGCGCACCGCGTGATTATTGCTTCCACGCAGATCACTGACCCAGACACAGGCGTTGCGCGCGACGTGTCATTGCTGGACATTCTTCAGATGTTCGGACGCGCTGGCAGACCTGACTATGGGTCGGAGGGCGTTGCGGTGATCATGACTGCGATGAGTAAGGTGGACCAGTACGTCGCTCAGTTGAGCGCCAACGCGCCGCTCTCGTCCTCGTTGCCTGAAAATCTGCACTTCCATCTTCTAGCGGAGATTGCGAAGGGCAATGTGGCGTCTGCGGCTGATGCGTGTGTATGGTTGGACGACACGTACTACCGAGTTACTTTGGGCGCTTCCGAGAGCGCTGCAGGGCAGCTGTCGTCTTTGGCAGCTTCAGCTTTGAGTAGCTTGGAAACCAAGTGTCTGGTTTGCAAAAGCAGCGAAGCCGCGTACAAAGCAACCGCGCTTGGTCACATTTGCACTAGCTTCTATTTATCGATTGATACCGCTCTTCTGTTCCTCAGCGTGGTGGAGTGCCGAACCGTATACGAATTGCTAGATTTGGCTTTGCAGGCTTGCGAGTTCTCCGCAGTGTATCGAAAGCTGATGAACGAAGAGCTCGAGGAGTACTGGACGCGACTGCGGCGGCGGTACCGCATCGAGGGTTCGTTTGATACCGGCTTCGAGAGTTGTTTCAGCTTGATTGCAGCCTATTTGAACGGAGACTTCAGACTTTCGTCTAGCCAACTGTCGGATCAGCGCATCTTGTTAGATTCGCTGCCACGTGTCCTTGGCGCGCTTTGTAAAATAATGGCGCTGGTTGACTATAGCAGGGCGGATGGATTTATTTTTCTGCGAAGTCTGGCATTATGTGTAAAAGTGCGGATTCCTCTAGGCGCGGGTGTTTTGTGGAACGCGATTTTAGTGGACGTCACTCTTCGGAATGCGCTCGAGTCTCTGGCAGCTGACGTTTCCGACGATTGCGTCGCTACGCTGGATAGATACAGGGATGAAAACGAATTGCGTGTTTTCTTAGAGATGAAGAGACTTCCGACACTGAGCAAGAAGTTCACGCATGCAATCAGAAAGATCCCGTACTACGTAGTGTTCTGCAAGGCTAGGCCTCTGGAACAACTGGTGGTAAGCGTGGAGCTAGAGATTTTTTGCCTGTCTCTGATGGACTTCTCAGCGAGCAAACAGCTGTTCGCAGAGGTTTACGCGAAGGCCGACGACGGGTGTTGTAGCGTGTATCAAGGCGCGGCCGCGCTTAAGTTGAACGCGGGTTTAGCCAAGCTGGAGTGGTGTCAGGTTGAGCGGCTGCAGTCCTTAGCAAGCGACCGAGTGAAATTTGGAGCGGCTTTCCCAGGCAAGCCGTGCGTATTCTGCTTCTTTCTGAAGTTTGACACATTTGTGCGGGAACGGAAGTTGGAGTTTGTCGTAACCCCGCGCGACTGGTACGGTCTAAAGTTCTGCACCTCGACGTTTTACTCTTTCAGCGAGCCCGGCCAGGCCACTGTCGCGACGCAGGCCGAGCACATGCGCCTTTTGAACTTGCGGCAAATGGGCTTCGAGATCGACGCACCTGCGTACATGAATGTGTTCCAGTCGGCTGCGTTTTTTAGCCTGATGCACTCGGAGCAGAACATGCTGTTTTGCGCGCCGACCGGCAGCGGCAAGACGCTGCTCGCGGAGCTCGCAATACTTAGGAGCTTGCGGCGTAACAGGACCGCACTCTGCGTGTACGTCGCGCCGTTCAAGGCGCTGGTGAGCGAGCGGTTTGTGGAATGGACGCGCAAGTTTCCGCAAGTTCGCAGCATGCTACTGACGGGCGACAGCGTTGTGCGCCTTGAAGACTTTGCCGCGGTGCAGTTGGTGGTCGCGACTCCGGAAAAGTGGAATAACTTGCTCGTTAAGTTGTTGCTAACGCGCGACAAGTTGTTGAACAGACTAAAACTGTTCGTAGTGGACGAGATCCAGCTGCTCGGGACTTCGCGCGGCGCAGTATGCGAGTTGTTGTTGCTGCGGATGATGTCGTACACCAGGTCCCGCCTCTTGTGCTTGAGCGGGTACATCCAGGAAGCCGACGGGCTGGCGCGCTGGCTGCGCGTACCGCGCAACAATCTGTTCAACTACCCAAATCACTTACGAGAAATACCTTGCGAAGTGCACATCAGCGGCTTCGACCAGGTGCACTACTGCGAGCGCATGAAGGCGATGTCGAAGAAAATCGTCGACACGTTGAGCGCCCAGAACATCGTGAGGCCTGTGTTAATTTTCGTGTCTTCACGGCGCCAGACTCTATTGACTGCGCGTGAGCTTGCCGCAAGCTTCAGCTTCGCGGCGTGCGGCGTCGAGCCGGAGACGCAGGCCGTGTCTGCGTTGCTGCACGCGGTGCCGACTTTGGCGGCTGCGCTGAGCGCAGAATCTGCAGCAAGCGCGCAGCTTTCCGCTGAGATTCTGCTGAGCGCATCGTGCAACTTGTTTGACAATGAAGATTTGCGCTCGCTGTGCGCACAACGAGTGTTGTTTCATCACGCTGGCCTTTCGATCGGTGACAAACTGTTGGTCGAGAATCTTTTTCGCTGCGGTCTGGTTCGCGTACTCGCGTGCACGCACACGCTAGCGTGGGGCGTGAACCTCCCGGCGTACTGCGTGTTTGTGAAGGGTACCGAGTACTTCGAGAACGGGCGCTATGTGGACTTCGCGAACGCTGAAATTCTGCAAATGATTGGTCGTGCAGGCCGCCCGCAGTACGACACGGAGTGCCGCGCTTATTTGTACGTCTCGAGTAGCAAAAAGCGGTACCTGCAGCGCTTTCTATACTACTCCGCGCCAATCGAAAGCGTGCTACTCGACGAGCTGCCCGAACGGCTGAACGACGCAGTAGTGCTCGGCGAGGTCGCAGACTTCAAGACGTTCTGCGACTTCGTGAAGTCCACGTATTTGTATCGTCGGCTGCTGTGCAACCCGTCTCACTACTTGCCCGAGATGAGCGTGTTAGTCGCGGACGACAGTCGACGCTTGTTCGAAAAGCTGTTTTTGCGCTGCGTCAACTACTTGCTGGAGAACCGTTGCGTAGAGTTGCAGTCAACGCAGACGGCAGAGTGCGAGCTCCGTTTGTCGCTAACGCTCAGTTCCACGAGGCTCGCTCGACTCGCGCTGTTGTACTCCGTGCAGCTTTCCTCGGTGCACGCGCTCTGTAGCAGGCTCGACGCGTGCAAGAACGTCTTCGAAGTGATCCGGCTGCTTTGCTCGCTGGAAGAGTTCCGGAACTTCGTGCTGAGGCATTCGGAGGACCAGGTGAACTGCGAGTGGCGCGAGTTGCCGTTGCGGCTAGACGAGTACTTCTCCTTTCAAGATCCGCGTTCAAAAGCTCTGGCGCTGTTGCTGATGCACCTGTACGACTTGCGGCCGCCTGTGGCGGATTACTGCGTTGACTTGAAGGTGCTGCTCGAAACGTTTCAGCGACTGCTTGCCTGCGCGCTGGAGGTTTGCGATGGGCGGTTGAGTTTCATGACGTTCAAACTGTTGATGATACTGTCTCAGTCTGTCTTCACGCGGACGCACCACTTGTGTTCGGGACTGCCTTGCCGGCAAAAATCGAAGGCGCGAAACAAGAACATCGCGACGCCGAAGCGCATCTCTCGCACGTGCGACGGCGTCTCGCTGGAGTTCGCGACTGCGCTTTGTAACGTGAAGAGCGCGCTGCCGGGGCACCGCGAATACGTAAACTTTCGCTTGGTCGCGCTCGAGACCGGAGAGAGCTTTGTGCAAGTCTCGAAGGCTAACGGTCGGCGTATTCTGCTTACGAGCGCGCCAAAACGCGCGTTACGCGTCTGTGTGGCCACGACATGCGATTTAGGGATTTACGAGACTGAACTACCGGCGGAAATATAGAAATTATTAATCGGTTGCGGCGCGCGAGCGATGATCAAGCTGTACCAACTGGTTGGCCTGTTGAACATCGGCGTCGGCGCGTTGCTCATTTTGCGTAAGTCGCGCGCGCTGTGCATTAGACACTTTGAAGACGCACCTTTTCGCGATTCTTACAGACCGCCCTTTAAACTGGTTCGACTTTACGATCCCCGTGCTGATCATCGGGTGCGGCATTGCGTATTACATGAATTGGTTGAGTTGCAAGCTGTACCGTTATAGTTTGTAGCTAGTCGAGTTGCACTCGGCGCAGTCGAGCGCTTTGCTTGCTGGCACGTTTGATTTGCAAGTCGCGGAGTGCAGTGCGCACTTCCGCGTTGTGTTTGGGTGGCTCGACGATTGGCTGCGGTTGCGGATCTTCGGTGGGCGGCGTAGCGACGGCGTCTTGCGGTGCGGCTTCTGTGGCGCCGTCGGCAACAAGCTGTATGATAGGTCCGGTGGCGGCCCAGTTGATCGTGATTACACCCTGTGCCTCCAGATTGCGCACGAAACCGTTGAGGCTCGTCCAGCGCGTGCCGCTGAGTCGTTCGTCGCTCCTGTTCGAAACGATCTCGTTGTACACGATCAGCGCGGGCACTGGCGCGTCGGGAAATTTAGCTTGCAGAATGCGCAGAAACTTCGCTTGGAAGCGCGCACTGTTCGCGCGCAGGTTGCGGTCTAGGTTCGCATTGAAGAGTTTCGCCTTGCTGAGGTGCGCCTGCTGCGAGATGTGTACCTCGTAGCTTTGTGCGGTGGGCAGCTGCACTTTGCATGTAATGCAGTAATACTTGAGTTTGCGCAGCGGCCGCGCTGCGCTAGGCTTGCTCATGCCGCCGGATATTGCCGACGGTTTAAATATGTTATATTACCGATTTATGCAAGAGATCTGAGCCGTCCGACTGGGCAGGCGGTTCGAACAGCGCCTGCGTCTCTTGTTTCGCTAGCATCACGGAGAGTCGTGCGCAGCAGAGTCCGATCAGCGCGCCGAAAAGTACGTCTACCACATCGTGTCGGGCATCGCGCAACCGCGTGCCGGCTACGTAACAGGCAAGCAGGAAGCCGCCGCAGCCGTAGAGAGCCGTGGACCAGCCAGCGCAAGATTTGCACGCCGTAGAAAACTCACGCGAGAACCAGTCGGCTATTGCGCAGAGCCCTGCGAACGCGAGCGCGGTGTGTCCGGACGGAAAAGACTTGACAAGGTCGGCGACATTGGAGCGCAGGTGGATGCGCGCGGCGATGCAGTCGATCTGTTTGACCGTCACCTCTGGGGAGGTGCGGCTGAACTTCTCGAGCTTCAGGACTTCCTGCAAGTCGTCTATGCCGTGGTAGTGGTAGCAGGCAGATAACGCGTTCGGCCGGTACTTGTGCACTACGTGCTTCAGCGTTTCGACGATCGCGAGCGCGAAAAACAAGGCCGCGGTCGCGGCGAGTAGCAGCTCGACGGACGAACGCAACGTCTCCCGCGTGTAGAGTCGCCCGCGCAGTGCTTGCGCGCCCAGCACGGTGACAAGCGCAATCAGGAACGCGGCAAGCAAAATCAGCGCGAGCGTGCCGACTGTCAGCGTCTCCGGTGCGTATGGGTGGAGTCCTTCGCGACTCAGCTTTTCAAACCATGTGACGGGAGCGGAAACCGGCGTGAATAACGCCCAGACAAAAATTACTGCTGGTATTAGGCGCCAGAGCACGGAGTTCGCAGCGAGAAGAGACGTTTTGGTTTTGCGGTTCGCGTACATGATCGGGAGTCTCCGCGTAAGGGTAATTAAAATTTCAAATACTAAATGTAATTAAGCTCTTCTGCAAAGTAGATGCTGATCTCATTTCCTGCGTTCTTGATTGCAATGCTCGGCGCGCCGCGTATGCGCGTTTGGGCCACGAGAGAGGTGATCGTGCAGTTCGAGGATGGGGCACGCTTTCTAGAGAAGGCTCGCGAGCGCGTGCTGCTGAAAACCCGTAAGTGCGGCGCGGCGAAAGCCAACATTTTATCGCACATTTTAGAGCTGCGCCAGCTGACGAAGAATTTATTCTATAGGCGGCTCAAAGAAGAGCTGCGCAAGAACGCCGTTATGTCTAATTAGTTAAAAAATTAAGCTGGAGATTATGGCCACTGCAGTCATCGCCGCAACGCTTTTAGCGCATTACGGTTCGGGCGCGTCTGAAAGCGCCGTCAACGAGCAAAAGGTCACGCAGATCTTGAAAGCCGCTGGCGTTGAAGTTTCTTCGGAAATGCTCCGCGAGCTGATGAGTCAGGTCAGCGAGAAAGGCGTCGAATCGCTGCTCGAAGAAGGCTCCAAATTGAAGAGCTCGAACATCCAGGGCGGCGGCGCTGCGCCAGCCGCCGGCGCTTCCGTCGCTGCTGCGAAGGAAGAGGCGCCGGCTGCAGTCGAAGAGGAGGAAGAGGACGACGACATGGGTTTCTCGCTCTTTGACTAAGCGTCCGCGTGACTACATAAACTGATTATGCCGCCTTTTTCGGCCAACGCGCGCAACTCTGCCGAGTCGTCTTGTGCAAGACTCTCGGACGTTGCGCATGTGCTGTAGAGGAGCTTTTGGCTGCTCGCGAAATCTGCGTCGAAGCGGTAGAACGCTAGCTCCCCTGCGCGCGGCGCACTCGCAAGCACGAAGAACCGAGGGCGCGGCGCGATCCGCGCGCTCTCCGAGAACGCAAACCAACCGCGACTCGCGTCGAACGAGACTGCGGGCAGCTGCAGCGAAGCGAGCAGTCGCGCGACGGCCAGTGCCGCACAAACAGGTAACTGCGCGTCGCGGCTAAACACGCGCAGCCGCACAGTCAGCGCGAGTGCGTGCGCGCTGTCGATGAGCAGCGCAGACTCGCCGTCGAAGCAGCCGGTATACGCGGCAGACAGCAGGTATGCGAGATGGCCGGGCCGCTCGAAGTCCAAGCAGTACGCGGCGATGGAGTGCGCGCTACACCAGCCGTCGCAGCCGACGTACTCGACGCTGAACGCGATGTCCCGTGCGGAGGTGGCGCGCACGACTTCACAGGAGTACTGGCATAAGACTTGCGAGTCGCCGAAGTCGCACGACACACCGGCTTCAAAGGCGTTGCACGCGAACGAAGCGCAGCTCGCAAAGTCCATGTTGTTACGAGCGGACGCTGCGAAAACAGCGCTCAGCGTATATAATATTCTAAGCTACTTTAATTTTCGGCGCGGCGCCTGCACCAAACAGCTGCAAGGCGAGCGTCAGCAGAAGGAACAGCAGTACCTTCGCAAGATCGCGCTTCAGCTGCGCGTGCGGGTCGGCGAGCGGCTCGCACAAGAAACTCGTCTCCTCATACAAAGGCGAGAACGCGCTGCTCGGGTTGCGCTCCGCGATAACGAGCTTGTGGAAGCCCTGCAGCTGCAAGCAGCCAGTGCGTCCCTCGTAGCGGTATAGCGTCCCGAGCTCCGCGGCGAACTCTGTGCGGACGGCAGTCAGCGCGATCTCTGCGCGCGAGTCAAGCTGCGCGACGGACGCGTTGAGGACGGGCGGCGCAGAAGTTGCGCGCTCGCGCGTGACGAAGAGCCAAAAGACCAGCCGCAGTGCGTCGCGTTGCGCGAACAGCGGGAAGTTGCGCGTCCGAGGCGGCGCGATATCGACCCTTACACGCGCGGAAGGCTCGAAAGGCTGCAGCGTTAAACCAACCAGCCGCATTTGAAAGGTTCTGTGCAGCGCCCACTCGAGCAGCGACTTGGCCAGCTTAGCAGTCTCGGCCGCGTCTATGAGTTCTCGCGGTAACAGTAACACGCGGAACTTTTGCTGCGCGCCTTGGATTCCGACGACGACGCCGACTTTGCCTGAGCGCACGAGCACTGCTGCGTTGGTGTTGTTGACAATGCGCAGTCCAGGCAGCTCCAAGCCGCTTAGCTCTAACGGTGGATGCAGCTCAGACGTCAGCGACGTCGCGGTTGCCTTCGGCAACTGCTGTAGGCTCAGCGCGGCGAGTAGTGAGCGCTGCGGAGCCAGCGCCACAACCGTAACTGGTTCTTGGTCGGCTGCGCGCAGCGTCCGCGCGCGCTTTTCTAGGAAGAGCTTAATTTTTGGATATGTGCAGAGGTGGCTTTCGCAGAGCAACACGTTTGCAGCTGCGGCGGAGTCGGCGCTGCGGCAACCGAGACCCACGAGAGCGTTGCGCAGCTCTGCCGGTGAACGACCAATCTCGGTGAACGCGCCCCTCGGGAGACCATCGGAGACAGCGCTCAGTGTCGGCGCGAGCTTCGTGTTGGCAGAGTAGAGATCTAGCTGAGCGTCGAAGGGCAGGCACCGTGCTAGCGCAGCAAGCGCGAGCAAGCGACGCATCGAGCAGACGCGCATTGCAGCAGCAAACTGTGCCGACGGCGCAATTAATTTAAAAAAATAGCCGGATCGGCGATCAGACTGACAGATGGAAGCATGAATTTCGCGGCGCGGCTCGCGGCGTGGAAATTACCTGCGAGCTTGTCAATGCCGAAGCGCAAGTCCAACGCGCTGAGGACCAGCCGCTACCACCTCTGGAACTTTTTGTTCATGAACCTGTACGAGCAGTTGGCGACCGTCTCCAACGCTTACTTCCTGTTCATCATGATCTTGCAGTGCATTCCAGGAGTAAGTCCCGCATGAGCGAACTTCGATTAGTGTGACACGCGGCGTACCTACCATAGGACTCCCGCTTTCCGCTGTGCTGGTGGCCACCGCAGTCAAAGACTTTGTGGAAGACTGGCAGCACCGTCGGTCGGACTGCGAGGAAAATACGCAAACTGTGCTGCGCGCGGCGTATGCACGAAGTCCGTAGGTTTTGGCGCAGCCGAAGCAGGGACGGCCAGGTCGAGCATAGGGGCAGCGGTTTCCGGCAGCGCGCGCGGCGGCTAACGCAGCGCTTCTCGTGCTTGTTTCGCTACGTCGTGCGCCGGCAGCCCGCAAAGCATGTTGCAGTCGTGCTTGAATCCGCGCGCTTCATGGACCTTGAGGAGGGTGATATTATCGTGGTCGCGGAAGATGCGTTTTGCCCAGCAGACTGTGCGCTCTTGTACGCGAGCGAGAACTCGGGATGCGCGTACGTACAGACCGCTAGCCTTGACGGCGAAAGCGCGATCAAGCTCAAAGAGCAGATGTATCGACACCGGATCGCACCTACGGCTCGCAAAGAAGAGATTGCCGAGTTCTTTTTGCGGCATACCGAGCTGGTCAGTAAGGACTCGCCGAGCGCGAACCTGTCGGAGGTGAATTTCGGCCTGGACGTTGGCAGCGAGTTCGTCACGGGTAATGAGCGGAACATGATCTTGCGCGGCAGCCAGCTCCAGCACGTCGAGTTTGTAGTGTTGCTCGTGTTGTACGTTGGACAAGAAACGAAACTGCTGCTGAATGGCTCGCGGCTGCAGCGTAAAATTAGTCGCATTGAAGACGCAACAAACCGCATGATCGCGCTGCTGTTTCTAATCCTTATCGCAATGTGTTTTGCGTCAGCGTACATAACGCAGCACTACTGGCTGCACACCGACCTGCAACACCTCACGTACACGGGTCATGCGAGTTTTCGTGGCCAGCTCTCGGTTCTGGGCGTGGTGGTTGACTTCGTGGCGAACGCGTTCACGTGGATGCTTTTGATGACGAACTTCATTCCGATCTCGCTGATCGTCTCGCTTGGTCTAATTCGCATGTTGCAGGCGCGGCACATGAGAGAGGACACGCAGGCGCGTATCGTTGTGCGCTGCCCTGCGCTGAACGACGAGCTGGGACACATTTCGTACATCGTGAGCGACAAGACAGGCACGCTCACGAAGAACGAAATGAAGCTGCGCAGCTTGGTGATTTGCGGCGAGTTGTTCGCGTCGGACCCGAATTTGGAGAACGGGGCGGAGCGCGGTTTCGACGTTGCTGTGCCGAACGTGTCGCTGTATTGTGAGCGTTTGCAACAAAAACTGCAGCAGCAAGAGCCGCGGGTAGTGCTGTTTTTCTTGAACCTCGTGCTCAATCACAACTGCGTAATCGACCAGAAAAGTCGCGAATTCGTGTGCAGCTCGCCGGACGAGCAGGCGCTGATCTACGGCTGCAAGTTGTATGGCGTGGTGTTTACGCAGCGGCTGAACAACCTAATCTATATTCGGCTGAGCGCGACTGAACTGGTGTTTAGAGTCGAGTGCTATTACGACTTCAGCAGCGAGACGAAGCGCACGACGATAGTGGTCACTTTAAAGACGAAGTGCAGCAAGCACGGGAACGAATTCCCGTTTCTGCGCGAAGGCGGCACGTTCGTGTTTTGCAAGGGAGCAGACGAGACGATTTTGCCGTTGTGCGGCGACAGCGTCGACTCAGAGTCGATCGACGAGCAGTGCGCTGCGCTCTATAGGCAGTGCCTGCGCGTACTGTTTTTCGGTAGTAAGGAGCTCGATGCGGACGCCGCCGAGCACGTGTTGCAGCTGTTGCGTGCGGCGCCGCGCGGCGATGTGGACGCGCTATCGGGGCTACGCGACCTGGTGGAGGCCGACATGGTGTTTCAAGGGCTGTCTGCAATCGAAGACGCTCTGATCGATGGCGTGGAAAAAGCGGTCACCGATTTGCTTGGCGCCGGCATAAAGATCTGGATGGCGACCGGCGACAAGTTTGACACGGCTTACAACATTGCGTTGAGATGCGGCTTCGGGAAGCTGCTGCCGACGTCGGCGGAAGAAGCTTCAGTGGCCGTGCAGTCGAACGGAGACGTGGGCGCCGCGCGACAATTACTTGATTGCGTTCTTGAGCCGGGTGACGAAGAGGGCGCGCACTTCGCGGTTGTCCTGACGACGGAGCGGTTGAAAGGTTTGGTGTCGGTCTCGCTGGACGCTACGCTTCGCCGGTTGAACAACTATTTTACCGCGCACGCGCTAGAAAACTTTCTCGTCTTTTGCGACGGCGCGACGCTGCAGCGACTGTTAGCGTTGGGACTGGAACAGCCGTTTATGCAGCTCTGTGTGCGCGGCTCGAGCGTTGTTTTTTGCCGCAGTTCGCCGCAGCATAAAGCGCAGATTGTCAAGCTACTGCAGTCACACTGCCTCCAGAGCGAGGAAACCGGGAGTCTATGTAGCTTCTACCACTGCGTGGCGCTGCGGCTGAAGCGTGCGCTGGCAAAGCTGTTCAAACAGTTTTCCTTAGCGCACGTAGTACGCAGCAACAGCCGTTCTGTGCTCGCGGTTGGCGACGGCGCGAACGACTGCACCATGCTCATTCAGGCGAACGTGGGCGTGGGAATTTTGGGCAACGAGGGACTGCAGGCGTATCGCGTGGCCGACTACGGAGTGGGCTCATTCGTGGACCTGGTGCCACTGCTGCTGGTGCACGGCCGCGCGAACGCGATTCGGGCCCTGAACGTGATTCTCTACTCGGTTTACAAGAATATGGTTTGTGTGTTACCGACGTTCTTGTTTTGTTTCTTCAACGCGTTCAGCGGGCAGAGACTCTTTCCGGAGCTCGGCTATCAGTCCTACAACGTGCTGCTCACGCAGCTCCCGGTGATGCTGTACGGCGTGTACTACCGCGACGTGCAGAAGAGCACGGTGCTCGCGTACCCCTCGATTTACAAAATGACGCAACGGCTTACGCTCACGGTGCGCGCAATTGCGGCTGTCACGCTAAATGCGTTTTGGCACTCGACAGTTTGCTTCTTTTTGCCAGTGCTACTAATGAGTAACCTGGATTGGTCGACGCCGTTTTTCAACGTTGATCAGCTCAATGTGACAGGGTCATTCGAGCCGCGCAACTCTTTCTGGTGCTTGTCGTTCACGATCATGATCTGCGTGGTGACCGTGGTGAATCTGCGACTGTTGATTCTTTCGGTTACGCCGCACAAAATTTTCGTGTACGGCACGTTCATCAGCGTGCTCATTTGTTTTCTGCTGCTGCTGATCCTGTCGCTGAGTCCGATCCGCTTCAGTGAAACCTTTGGCACGCTGACGACTCTGCTGCTCGACCCGATTTTTTTCATCACATACATAGTGACTGTGCTGAGCGCGTTGTGTTGCGATGTGGCGATAGTGATTTTCCGACGAACGTTCCGGCCGGACGTAGTAGACATGTTGATCTTTTTCGACTCGATCTTACAACGCGAGAGGCGAAATGTGCAGGCCGCGGTGAAGGAGATGCGGCTCAAGAACCAAGACCTCGAGAAGCCGCTGCGTAGTTTCGGGGCGCACGCGAAGGGCGCGCGAGCCGAGACGCGTGCGACTGCGCCACGCCGCGAGCGCGAGCGCAAACGGAACACCGCAATTTTGATGGAGATGATGTACATGGAGTCGCTGTTCCAGTCCGCCAAACTGTAAGTGGAGATAAAGTGCACGCAGCGGATTCGCATTTAGCAAAAGTGTTGACTCGTGGAAGCTGATAACACGACAAATGAACGCGGGCGACGGCTAGTTGTGGACTAGCTGCTCCACCGCCGCAGCGTACTTTGCGAAGTTGGTGACCAGCAGTTCACGCAGTCGGCGCAGCTGGACGCGCGAGAGCGGGTCGGGATTCACAAGGCCGCAGATGAGCGTGCCGAATTCGTTCCGTGCGAACGCTTCGGGAACGTTGATGCGCACGCGGTTGTAGGTCTTCAGCTTTTCGTTCGCCTCGAGCGCGGTGGTTCGTTCGTCGAACCCCATGTGCTCGGCCATGTCCGTGAGCACGGCCGGGAACTTCAGCAGTTCGCAGAGCAGCACTCCCACGCTCCACGCGTCCCACAGTTCCGGGTTGCCGGTGCGCGTGAAGAGCAGCTCAGGCGCGCACTCGTGCCAGAGGTAGTTCTGTAGGTCCGGTTTCTCGTTGATGCGTACGCAGTCTTCCAGATTGAGTAGCGCGCAGCCAGCGTTGCTGCGCACGACGACGTTGTTGGCGTTGAGCCGCGTGTGCGCGTAGCCTAGGTCGTGCAGTTCGATGACTGCTGCACACAGTTGGTAGACGAGCTTGAGTAGCGTGACGCCGCTGCCCAGCTGCGCAGCGTTTACGCTGCGCAACGGCGCGCCCGACAAAGCTTGCTTGACGAGCAGCACGCGGCCTTTGCAGAACGTCCAGCCCAGGAAGCGCTGGTGCACGTGCGCGGTGCGCGCGAGGTCATCGAGCGTGCAAGCGGCGCGGTAGAACTGTGCAAGTTGCTGCGGAGAAGGCTTCTGCTGGGCAGTCGTCTGTAGCAGCACGTCCCCCGTGTAACGGCCGCGGTACTGAGCGTAAGCGCCGAAGACACGGTCGGGTGCGAGGCTCTGCAGTTCTGTGTCTTTGAGCGGTGTGAAGCTGCCCGATGAAAAAACCTCAACCTTTTCTTTTTTCACAGTGGCGACCTGCGAGTCGCTGAGCGCGCTGATCAGCATTGGTAACGCGTCGCTCGCGTCGGCTTTCGCGATGTCGTCAAAATTTTCGCGACGACTGCGCTCGCCGTTGCGAGCGGCGGCCTGCGGCTCGCGGTCCGCGGCGTGGTCATCGTTGCCTATCTCGAGGATGAGCTGCGAAAGATCGGCCGTGCTGATGTTTAGTTGCTCGATGTACTCTTCGAGAAATTTATTGAACTTCTGGCTTGCGCGAATGTAGCCTTCACGGTTAAGCTTTTCGTTTTGCAACAATAACCACTCGTGGTAGAGCTTTCTTACGAGCTCCTTGCGCGTCGGAGGTCTCGAGCGCGGCGCAGCGGGTCGGCGGACCACGCTGTCCGCGCCGAGTAGTTGCGCAAGTTTCAATCGACGCTCCAGGTCTGCGGAACTGCTGTGCTTCGTGTCGCTGCAGTTCGAGCAGCAGTCGGCTAGCATGTGAAATGCGCGGAAGCCTGTTTTCGGCTCGATCGTCTCGAGCTCCTGCTGCGCGAGGTACTCGGGTCGGCCGAAACGGTCCTCGAACGCGGCGCGCGTGGTTAAGTGCATAATGGTTCACGAAAATAAAGCAATAAGGTGCACACGACAGCCGGCGTAGCGGCTTCTCTCTTTTAGCAATAATTATACTTTATTGAAATCTTTTCGCTCACGACCATGGCGGCGCCGCAGTTGTCTCCGGAGCAGTTTTTGCAGAAGCTGTTTAGCCACATGTTTCCCGCGCAAATTGGACACGCTTTGCTCCTGCTGAGCGACGCGCATGTAAGTTGTTGAGCATCGCACGCAGGGCGAGCGTTATCGCAGCCAGCTGCAACGCTTCCTACAGCGCTACCCGTTCCGCATGTTGTATGAACAGTTGAACAAACTGGCACCGGACGACGCGATTGAGTTGCCAGAAGCGAATTCGGAAGAGGAACGCGCGTGGCGCGCACTGATTTGCAGCAGCGCCGGCGCCGACGAGCCGCGACTCGGTGAGGTGCTGAAAAACCTGCGTTTCGTCGAAGGCGCTGCGGTCAAACGACTCACCGCGAAGGAAGACGCCGCGGACGCCGCGCTGCTGGGCGCGGAGTCGCTGGTTTGGGTACTGACCACGTTGTTTATGTTGCTGTTCAAGTTGGCGCGCGGCTCCGAGGAGCTGAGCGCTTCAGCGCAGAGCGGGCTTCCGGAGCTGACTGACTACGCGCTGCAGACTTCGCTGACGACGACAGTCGCGCTAAACTGCCCGTATTTGGCGCGCTACTACGCAACACTGCTGGTGCTGCAGAAGAAAAAGACGGAGAACACTCGCCCGGTGCTGCAGTTGCTGCAAAGCTGCGAGGCGCACTACTCAGACCCGCTCGTGCAGTTCGTGCTGGATCTGTACTCGAAGTGTCACGTGCAGCGTTTCGCGGAGCACATTGCTGCGCTGGACGCGACGGCGGCGCACGACCCGTTGTTGCTGCCGTTGCGCGACGCACTGCTCGAGGCGGCGAAAATTTCGTTGCTGAACTACCTGATTAAGGCGCACAAATTCATCAAGCTCGACTGGCTCGACGAAATCAAGCAAAACGAACAGGAGACCGACCGCTGGATTCTCAGCAAGTGGTGCGACCCGAAGTACATTCCGAAAATCGACGCGGAGCGGCGCATTTTGACCGTTCGCAAGACGAAGCAACCGATGTCGGAAATGCTGATTGACAAAAGTCAGCAGCTGCTGACGCGCGTGCGCAACATCAGCGTGGGGCTGATGTAGCTGCCGCTTGTTTTCGGCTAATTGTTTTTATTCAAATTTTGCATGACCAATCGCGGAGGGTTCGGCGGCAAAAACCGCCGCACCGGCAAAAATGATCGTTTCGGCGAGAAGCGCGAGTTGTTGCTGAAGGAGCCGTTTCAAGAGTACGCGCAAGTGCAAAAGATGCTCGGAAACGGTCGGCTTACGGCGCTCTGCATCGACGGAATCAAGCGGCTTTGCCACATCCGCGGAAAGTTGCGCAAGAAGGTCTGGATTAACGCCGGCGATATCGTGTTAATAGCGCTGCGCGAGTTCCAAACCGAGAAGGCCGACGTGATCCATCGCTACAACCCAGACGAAGTGCGCGCTTTGCGACAGATGAAGGAAATTCCAGAAACCTTCCGCATCGTCGAGAACGTGAACGCGGAGGGCAGCGACGGCGAGGACGGCATCGGCTTCGATTCGGACGTGAGCGAGGTGCACATCGACATCGCGGCGCTGTAAGAGCGGGCCGTGTGTTGGCGGCTGTTTTAATAAATTCGTACGCAAATTAGAGGAAAGTCGGAATGCTGGACACGGTCATCACGATCAAGGGAAAGGGCTTCGTCGCGATCGGTGCGCAGTCGACAACAGTAAACCGGGACCGCATGCAGCCTTTCGACCCGTTCGTCGAGTTGGACCACAACGTGCTCGCGGTCTGCGGCGCGGAGCCGGCTGTTCGCGACCGAGTGATCGCGTTCACGCGCTACTACCTCGAGAACTACTCATCGAACCAGCGCCGCGAGTTCACTCCAGCGGAGGTGCTGGAGCTGTTGCGCGCCGTTGACGTGCAGTCGCAGTTTCAGAGCGAGCTGAGCGCTGCGTGCTGCGGACGCGTGCCAGACGCGACTGGCGAGTTCCAGCTGGTTGGGTACTCGAACAGCTTTGTGCAGCCGATTACTCGCTGGATCGAGATCGTTAATTGTTTCTACGCGTCCGGCTTCAAGGGCGAGGTGGACCGGCTGAACCAGCAGCCCGCTCCCGATTCGGTTCCGCAGATGCTCGAGCTCGTGCGCAGCTTCCTCGCCAAAACCTTCGCGCATTTGGTGGTAAAACCGCGGTTCAGCTTCGTGATCCTGCAAGCCGGCGGCGTGAAGAACGTCGAGCTGAGCGTCTAGCCGCTGCATTGCGAATATCGCGGCCTAATTCTAATCATTCACACACCTAATTTTTCGCCGCTGAGGCCATGAACGAGCTCGAGTTTTTGAGCAGCTTGCTCTTCGTGATCGTGGCCGTCATTTCCGGCTCGGTGATCCAGTGGATCCACAGCAAGGCGAAATGTTACAAGCCGCCGGTGTCGATTTTAACGACC